ACAGCCAGTCCGTGGCAGCTCCCACAAAAAGTGCCCCCACCTCACCATCAGTGCCGCCTCTGCTTTTCCCCCAGGGCTGCTCCCCCCTTCCTCTCTCTGCTCGGCTCTCCCCTCCCACAGCGTTTCCCCTGCACAGCACAGCACAGCACAGAGTTATAGTCCTGTCTTCAGAATCATTGTACTTAGGCTCTATGGGGCCTTTTCTCCAACCAAATAGAAATCTATGTGAGACTGTGCTTTAAAACTCCATGAATTTGGATGGGAGCCAGCACCAGCATCACTAGAACTAAGGGCAGGGAGAGGGGGCAGAGAGGCAGAGAAGGTAGAAACTAACTGAAGTTGAAAAAGGATGAGAAACTCTCAGATTCCTCTCTGTCTACCTCAGGATGTAAAGAATAATCTAGAAGACAGCTCTAGAGGGAGGAGATGGATGAATCTGATAATTCGTCTCTCCAAACCACAGAGACTCCTGTGTACAGGGGCCACCTAGGCCCATGGGAACGACAGCCCAAAGGACTCCTGGTGCTGTAACCACTGGGATCACCCGGGAAGAATAAGAGGAACTCGGACACAAGGGCAAGAACAGGCCTGATGCTCCACAGAAACAAAGAAGAAAATACACCCAAAAGATGGGGCTGAGATCATGACCCAGGATGGAGCCTGGGCTGACCCAGTCACAGGAAGCTCTTGCTGCACAAGGTCCTGGTGACAGGTGTTGTCCAAGTCTCTATGATCACAGGTCCTGGTGAGACAAGGTTCCACAGAAGGGGCAAGGACAAGGAGCAGAGACACGACCCAGCTGAGGAGGGAGCACGACACTCCAAGGACGCACTGAGCACCGACTGGACACAGGCTCCATCCACGCTCGGCTCCTCCAGCCCTCTCCTGTCCCCACCTGCAACAGACATGGCACAGGAAACATGCAGGTTCTGGAAGGTTCTCAGCGCTTTCATTTATTTTCTGTTCCAACCATACAAATCCTCTCTTTTATTACCTCATCATGCCCACATACCAAGAATTACAAAACATAAATTAATATCTGGATTCTCATTTTCAATAGGAAAGTAAAGCATCAGTACTCAGTCCAACATGAAAAAAAGACGGGGATGGAGATGGTCCACCCCTCCTCAGCTGGAACAGGAAAGCAGGTCAGAAAGGGAACACAAATCAGTACGGGGAGGGGTCATGGAGGGCAGGGGGGGCCAGTCTCCTGCGTCCTCACAATATGCTAATAGGAACGCAGACACATTCTGACACCATCTGCAGAAAGTCAGGGGATCTCGATGGCACCAAGTGTGAACAGATCCTGTATTAGTCCCTGAGGGGCAGCGGGTCTCACACTGTGAAAAAATTAATCATGAACAGATTTAGATCAGTCACGTAAGTGCCACATTCTCAACAGCCCCCCACATGTCAACATGTCCCTAGTTCCCCCACCCTTTCCCACTTCAGGCCCTCTGGAGTCTTACCTTTAGGAGCCATTAGAGACGAATCAGAGCCCTGAATACTGTCATTGCCTGGGGTAGAACAAACAGGATGTGATCAGAGCCACAGGAGTTGAGACTAAAGGAGCAGCTATGGGGGGGGGGTAGGGGGAGTGAGCTCCCCATTGGGGTCCTGTCTACACTATCCCAGGGTTTCAAGGATCACCCTCTCCAAACTTACGTGCAGCATGAGAGTAGCTCGGTCCTTTTTCTGCTGTGGGAAGAAAATATCATGTTACAAACCTGGGACAGCTGGGCCATGGGATCCTAGAGCAACCTCTTAGTCCTGGTCCACAATGAAGTTTCCAGAATTCTGACTGAAGACCCAGGACAGGCTCAGGAAACATGAAAAAAGAGGTGTGTGTGTGTGGGGGGGGGGGGCACAGGACCGCCTGACTTTCTGGAGGTCTGTCCTGAGCAGGGACCTTCCTCTCTGTCCTGTCACTGCTGGGAATCATCAGGTCCCCATCACCAGAATTACCAAGTGAAAATCTGTCCTTCATTTTCACAAGTGCTTTGCTACAGAGTGATTGTTAGTAACAGCTCCAGAGTGGGCAGCTACATGTGTGTGGATGGAACTTCCCAGGAACCAGGCAGGACAATGTGTTACCTAGGAAGCCCCCCAGCGGGACAAGTGAACTCAGATCCCCCCACTCTGTTCCTA